GTCATCTTTGTATATTCCAGAAAGCCAGAAAGAAATGAAGCCGTTAGAGTGGCTCCCCAAAAACGGGAGGGAATCGAGGAGCTGGCCTCCGTGTGTCAGAACGTGTTGCCTCGTCTTGTGCTGAGACGGAGGCGGGCTCTGCAAGCATCCTGCGTTGTTGAAAGGGCCCCGCCCGGGCAGCTGACGACACGCAGTGGTCAACAGAGTGATGCTGCCATTCGCTCCAACTCCAGAATATTTCTCCACCATTCGCAGACTTGGATTTCTGGATCAGGGGCCTCCGGACCCAACCTCTTTCTTCTTTCTGCCTTAGGATGTGGTCCTAGCATTGCTCAGAGTCAGCAGCAGGAGTGCTGGGAGTGGGCATCACGCCTGGGCTGCTGGTGGCTCAGCTCTCCTGGGCTCTGCAAGACCTGCTGTGGGGCCCAGAATCTCCACCCTGTCTCCCAGGTGGCTTCCTCCTGCGCATCCCGCCCTTGGGAACGGACCTGGGCTAGAGAAACTTCCCGTTAGCGGTGGTCCAGCTGGCAGAACCACAAAGGCATCAAATGAGGGAAGTAATGACACATAGCTGAAAGCTGGGGGGCCAGAGGGGAAACGTGACTTGCTCATACAGTACCTGCCCTCTCCTGGTGCCGTCAACAATTTCAGCCAGCCCTCCCACGACCCACCTGGATGGAAGCTCGCACCCCTCCCCCGCATGCTTCCTGCGGCCTTCTCTTAGGTTCAGCAGCATCCACTTTGCTCCTCCCCAGTCTGTTCTCAGCACTTCAGCCAGAGGGGTCTTTCCAAAACACGAATCCAATCCGATCATGCTCCCCTGCCTAAAATCACCCGGTGGCTTTCCATTATGGCCTAGAAGCCCTGTTGCCTGGCCCCTGCTTCTCTCTTCAGGCTCATTTCATACTGAGCTTCTCCAAGTTGTGCACTGGAGCCAGTCCCTACCTGCTCACAAGAGCCAGTGGTTAAATATTGAAGAATTTGTGGGTAGCTGGAAATCAACCATGCTGGGAATACTTTACACCAGAGAATTCAACAAATGCTAAAAATCAGAATTTTTTTTTTTTAGTTCTGGAGAAAAAAATGTTGGCCAGTCCACTGTGCCTTTCTGTCACGGGCCTTTGCACATGCTATTGCTCTGCCTGGAACGCTGTCTTTTTTCTTTGCTGACCTAACTCCTTTCTTTGACACCTCAGCTCAATTGCTACTTCTTCTGGGAGGCCTCTCTTGATGTCTCTGAATAAGTTAAATCCCTACCATAAACCTTTTCTTCTTAGCTTGTATCACATTTGTAGTTTTATATGTGTGATGAATGGTCACTGTCTGTCTTCCCCATGGGAACGTAAACTCTCCGTGGCAAGAGAGTCCATGCCTGGTTTTGCTCACTATCTTTGCTCTATCACTTGGCACAGTGCCTGGTAGTAGAAACTCACAACATCTGCTGAATGAATTAGCAAAATATGCACCAGACAAGGAGAGCTAAGCCTTGGCTGTGGTGGCAGAGATACTATTGCTCACGTGTCTCCACACTCTGTATTTCCCAGCCTCCGTTGTTATTATGTTTGTCCTGTTACCAAATTTTGGCCAGTGGAACGGGGTACTCTGTGTGCTCTGTTTCCAGCCACAGCCTCTAAAATGTCACAAGTGGTCCCCAAGGCTATCTCTCTTTTCTTCTACATGGCTGGAAATGAAGGAGTGGCCCAGATTCCTGAGTCACTGATCAGAGAACTGCTGCCCAGATGAGTCACCTTGCCCTCCTTGAACCGAGAGAGGAGGGAGACATATTATACGTTTATTGAATTAATCCCTGAGGTTTTGGGTTTGTTTGCTATAGCAGAAGCTAACCTACCCTGACCTAAAACACCTTCCCAGCTTTCATGAACTCCTTCTACCCTTTGGGCAAACCACAATACCTCTGAGCCTCAGTTTCCTTATTGGTAAAAATAAAAGGATTCCACAAGGTGATCTCTGAAATCCTTCCAATGTTAAAATTCTGGTTTTCTGCTTATACATTTTCCTTCCTCCTGCCTGGCACCCTATGCAGACATGATAGATGTTTGCTAAATAAGAGAAGCTTCTATATTTGAAATCCTTTCCTCCAGATAAAAGCATTTTACTAACTTAGAAGTTCAGAGTGATTACTCAGAATATTTAAATATCTAGCATGTGCAATATTGATCAAAATAACAATGGTGACATTTCATCAAGGGGCTGGGGAACCTTCAGAGATCTATCCCTCAGCCTTGCAGATGCCAGGCACCTTGCTCTGTCTGCCCTCGGCAGCTTGGCAGCCCCGGAATTTCCAATTATTTGCAGATTTCATCCTCAGACTGTCTCTGCCGTTCCACTCAACTGCCTTTCTTAGTAGACAGAATCTCATTTTTTAAAGGAAACTAATGATGCCTTTTCTTAGAGAGCTGTCATTACAAGCCACTGCCTGAGTAGCAGTAACCAAGAAGCAAATGTTGCTTCTTTGATGAGGTGTATGAGGGTGACCCTTTGAGTAGCAATGGTAGCCCAGAGCCCTGATGACGCAACCAGGTTTCAAATCTCCTGGGGTCTATTCCTAGCTCTGCCACGGGTTCATTGTGTGTGAAAAGGGAGGCAAAAGGCAGGCTTTTCTTCTTGGGCTGGGGTCCCTGTTCCTGTTACAAATAAAGGCCACCACAGCTTCTGTCATCCCAGTAACCATAGTAACAATGGACCACATGACAGATGCTGATCCCCATCAGACATTTTCTGATATGAAGTGTTCTTCATCTTTCCTCCCCACCCAACCCCACCCCGGATCCTAGTAGGAGTAGTGGCATCAAGGATGTCCCAGGGGAGCAGCTCATGCATGAGAGACCTGGAGCTGACAGCATTAATTAAACCTCTTATTTCCCCAGAACATTTTGCATCGCCAGGCCCGGGAGCAAGAAAACCTCCCAGGGAAGCTCTTATGCTAAGAGATTGCTAAGCCTAACACCAGGGGCTGAGCCACTTCAGCTCCAAAGCTGGCAGCAACTGGGGCTCAGTAGGAAAATGTGCCTGGCATACAGCAGGCACAAAATAAATACTTGCAGCAGAGCCAATTTAATAAAATGGAGCTCACATCTCAAATGAGATTCCTTCTAAGCCACTGGAAATCCTGCATGAGATGGTCATGTGAGTCATCAATAGTTATTGAGTGCCTGCTGTATGCATTCATGGGTGGTAGCATGGAAACTCTAAATATATTAGCTGGCTGAAGGAATCCTAAGTCCCTGGGAGTGGCTGGAGTTTAAGGACATTTTGGGAAGTGTGTGGAGTGTAGTCTTGGAGGGGTTAGCAGGAACTACATTCATGAAGGGTTTTGGATCTAAGTTGAGTCTCTTGGGTTTATCCCTGGAGAACCTTTGAAAATTGTTACTCATGTGAGTGACAGGACAGGTCAGCTTTGCATTTCAGAAACCTCCTTTTTGATGCCCTGGAGAAAAAGAATTAGAGGAGACTATTGCTTTGACCAAAGAAATGATGTTCTAGATTCTAGAACATCTGAATACTGGCCCTAAGAGAACTGGCAGCTTCTGCTTCCTTCCTCTTGGAACCTGGTCACCATGCTGTGAGCAGCTCTGGCACCATGGAGAAGCCAAATGGAAGAGAACCAAAAGGCACCAGGTGACAGTGCCTCTGCCATCCCAGCTGCAGCCAGCACCAACTGCTCCCCATGTGAGTGCTCCATCTTGAATGTTCCAGCCCAGCTGACCCCCCAGATGACTGTAGTCCCAGGAGACATTATGTAGAACAGGAAAACCACCCAGCTGAGCCTAGCCAACCCACAAGATCCTAATAAGTAACAAAATAATTGCTCTAAGCCACTAAGTCATGCGTGGGTTTTTATGCAGGTGTAGGTAACTAAAAAAATGGGAGGTACCAGGTGGAGGTTGTGGCTACAGCTCAGTAGAAAAGGTCTGGCTGGAGAGGTCAGAGATTTGGGAGTCATCAGCATCGTGGAAATTTGAAAGCCCTGCTGTGGAGGAGATCACCCACACCCCTTCTCCTACACATGGCCAACATGCCTAGAGAGCACAGCAGACCCGCTGCAAATGTTTGCTGAATTAAGGCAAACACTCCACATAACGAAGAGCACTGAAAAGTCACTGTTTTCTTGATTTAAGACAGCCCTCCTCATGCCCTGAGTTCTAATTCTCCCTCACTCTAAGCAAAACTTTATTCTCGCTGTCTGGGACTCAAATGTGCACTCCTAGCTGCTGCATTTTACACTCTTTATCCTCCTAACACAAGTCCTTCTTTGGGGTGTGGACTGAGAATCTGCAAACAGGAGTTTGAGTTCAGGATGCTTTTTCTAGCTGCCCTGTCCTATCTGAAGCTCAGCTTCCTCATCCGTATATAAAGAAGAGAATATCTGTGGATCAAATTAGGTACTAAATTTGATCCTCACTGGACACTGGCAGTCTCAGCCCCAGAGCCACATCAATTCCGTCCACCTGCTGCCTGCGCCTCTCCCCCGCAGGAAGCATCCCCCAGGTTGGGCAGGTGGGGAAGCTCCAGCCGTGTGTGTGTGTGTGTGTGTGTGTGTGTGTGTGTGTGTGTGTGTTTGTGTGTGTGTGTGTGTGTGTTTTTGAAAGCCTCCCTGAGGACCCGATTTTACAGCCTCCTTGGCCAGGCCCTGGGGAGGGAGGAGGGTGAGCAAAGGGTTAGTAGCCTGGTAAAGTGACAAGGGACGCCCTGCCCTGATAAAGTCGCAGGCCGGGGTTCCATGCTTGGTTCGTCCGCTAACAGTGTGACCTCGCGAGCTCCAGCCCTTCTTGGGCCCTCTGTCCCCGCGTGCACGTAGACATTAAGAACGGCCTGAAACAACCCTAAGATTGCTTCCACCTGACAGGCTCTGGCTGCGCTGGGGTGGGGGTCCGGTCACGTGCCGGGGGAGGGGGTGCCACTGACGCGGCCCGGGCCGGCCTCCTCCTCTGACGTCCTCGCAGCCGCCCTCCCTCCCTCGCTCCCTCGCTCCCTCCCCGCCCCGCTGGTGGCGGGATCGCTGCCCGCTCGCCGGGACCCTGGGAGCTGCGCGGCGGGCCGGGCGGGCGGGGTGCGCGGCGCGGGCACCATGGTGCTGTCGGTGCCCGTGATCGCGCTGGGCGCCACGCTGGGCACGGCCACCAGCATCCTCGCGCTGTGCGGGGTCACCTGCCTGTGCCGGCACATGCACCCCAAGAAGGGGCTGCTGCCGCGGGACCGCGACCCCGACCCGGAGAAGGCGAGGCCCGGCGTGCTCCGGCCAGCCCAACAGGTGAGCGGGGGCGGCGCCCCGACCCTTCTCGGGCGGGCCAGCGGGGTCGCGGGGGCTGCGCGGAAGTGGAGGGGACAGGGGGGCGGTCGCGGTCTCCTCTGTGCGACACAGCTGAGCGGGGAGGGGGGACAAGGGACGTGCTCCAGGACCGGCTCTGGAGTCGGAAAGGCATGGGGGATGGGAGAGCCCTGGGGGATGGGAGAGGGATGTGAGGGGTAATTGGGGGTGGGGGAATTAAGGGGACTGAGAAAGGAATGGGGGCGCGGTAGCAGGGTTAAAGGGAGGGGATGGGGAAGGTGACTTGGATAGGAATTGGGGCTGGGGAGTGTTGGGGGGCTGGGAGGGGGATGTGGGGCTGGGTCGTGTTGGGGGGCTGGGAGGGGGGCTGGGAGGGGAGTGTGGGGCCGGGGGTGTGGGCCTGGGAGGAGTGAGAGGAGAGGGAGGCTGGGAGGGGAGGCTGAGAGGGGAGGGGCCCTCAGAGAAAAATGTGGGAGAGGGAGGGCCAGGGTTAGGGAGATGGGGTTGGGGAGAGGTAGAGAGGAATTGTGGAGGAGAGCCCTGCAGAACTGGAGGAGTGGAGCCCAGAGAGCGAGGGGGATAGTGTGGGGAGGGCAAACACTGGCAGAGCTGAGAAGGAGCAACTCCCAGAAACCAGAGGGAAGGTGGCTGCTGTCCCCCTAGGAGCCGGGGAGCCAGGGGCCAGCTGGGCAGGGAGGCAGCAGAAACCCACCTCCCAGCAGCTGTCAACTCCAGTCAGAGGGGCTTGCTGTAGCCTCTCAGACGTCTCTGATGATGTCCCTAGAGACAGGAGGGCTTTTATCCCACACATCTGCATGTCCCCAGAATCCCCTTTGGGCAAGAGATGGGCTGTGTCCCTTTGTACAGTGCAGCAGAAGGGGTTTGGAAGGATTTCCCTACATGGGCTGTGACCTCCAGGATGCATTTCCAAAGTAGAGAGTGCAGAATGTTCTCTGGACAAGCAGGAGAAAGAGTCTTGCTTGAGTGATCTGAGGAAGGCTGGCCCTGGGGCAGAGGGATGACTTAAATGACCTCCTAAGGTCCTCTACATTTCTTATAGATCGTATAGTTGCAGGAGTGGCACTAATGTGTTGTGATTCCACCTTCCTTTTTCCAATCAATAATTCAAAAGCTCCGAGGACCCAGTTGCGGTGGCCTGTGTCAGTCACTGTATAGTGGAAGTGTAAAGGAAATGGCTGCTGTCCTTGAGGCACTTACAATCCAAGAGCGGTGACATTGACACTGGCTAAATAGGAGCAGCAGGATGTGGGACATGGAGTGTACAGCAGGATCTGGGACACGGAATGATCTAGAATTGGGAGTAGTGGGCCCTCCATGGGCAGGTTGGCTGGGCCCTTGTCCAGCAGCAGCGGCTGGTGGCCTCCCCACGGTATCTTCCACCCAGCACACCAAGAGACGGCCACTCTTCTGCCTTTGAGTGGTGGCTCTCCAGGCAGTGTACCTACCCTCCCCTTCCCCAGGAGAACCACTGGGGAAACAGTTGGTATAAATGACCTCTAAGATCCCTTCCCACTCTCTCTCTTATTGACAGCCAGTAGCTCACACAATGGCTGAAAGTCTGTTTAAGACAAACCAGACTGTGTCTCTCCCCTGCTTAAAATCCTCCACAACTTCTCATTAGAATAGGTCATGGCCAACCCTAACATGGCACACGCCCAGCGCCAGGCACTGTTCTAAGTGTTTTACGCTTATTACTGCACTGAACAACCCCACAGAGGAGCTGTATGATCCTAACTTAAAGATGAGGTTCCTGAGACTCAGAGAAGGTAAGTGACTTGCCCAAGGCCACACGGCTAGAGCAGTTTCAGAGCTGGATTCCAGCTGAGCTGGTCTGATTCTGGAATCTGTGCTGTAGCCAGTGTACTCCACTCCCTCACCTGCCTGATTTGGCAGGTGCCGCCTCTCCAGTCTAGCTCATGCCAGTCTCCCCTTCTCGACAGTCTCTGCCCTTCTGGATTTATGATCATTCTTATAAGACACCCAGCCCTTTCCTGCCCACTCTGTTTTTTCTCTGGCTTTTCACATTATGGCTCCTTCTCCTCCTCAGGTCTCTTTTTGTTGGGTCTCTTTCCCTCTAAATGTCAGGGAGGATTTTGTTTACTGACCATGAAACAAAGTATCCCCATTATCCTCTCTCATATTGTTCCTTCTAAATTCTTTTATAGCCTGTCTTACAAATGGGTGTGATTTTTCATATTCAGTTACTTGTATGCTGTTTATTCCCAGCACTTACTTAGCCCCTGGAAACTAGTAGGTGTCCAACAAGAAGTTGTTGACAAAGAAAGGCATCGCAGCATCCAGCCAGCTGGGATTATCATCTGAGTTATTCTTCAGATGTGGGTGCCTGGGCCATGTCTTTGCAACCCGGTGCCAGCTCAGTAGGGGCAGGATAAATATTTGTTGTTGGTACATGGATCCTGCCTGTGGACATTCGCTGACCTGGCTCCCTGGGTGACAAGGATTTGGGCAGCCTGGGGGCTGAGTCTATAGGCGTGAATGTGGTGAAGCTGAGATCTCACCGTGGCTTGGTTGCCATTGTGCTAGACTCATTCAGCCACTGACCTAGATAAAGTACACACAGAAAAGACAATCGATGGACATTTCAAAGAAAGCAAAGGAGGCGGTGGTAAGCGTGGCAGGTGACAGCAGGGTGATGGGCATGGCACACGTTGACAAGGACTGCAAGACTGGGGAAAGGCTCTCTGAATATGTTTCTTGAAGAGAGAGAGCATGGGGGCTGGGGAATGGGGTTCTAGATTTCTGTAGCCCCCACAGAGGTTTCCAAGGCGTAATATGTCTCACTTGTTACTGGGATTCTTGTAGGATACAGACTTACTGCCCTGGTTGCCATAACTCACTGTATGTGGTTGCTAGAAATATTTCTTTGATTCAAGACCATGCCTGGGAATCCGATTTCTGACCCTGAATGGCTGGATGAAGCTGAAGTTTCTAGTGATTTTGAAAGAAACTTTGAGGTTTTCTCAGGGGTTCTTAAACTGAGTCCACAGACACCTCCCACCAAGGGGTCTATAGATGAAATTGAAGAGGTTCATGGTCTTGAATAGGAAAAAGTTACGTTTTTATTTTTACTTACCTCTCACTCAAACAGCACTTCTGGTAAGTAGGAATATAAACAACTAACTATAGTGGTATTATCAGGATCTGTGACTTTGTCCCCAAGGGGCATCACGAATAGTTTCAGAGCACACCACAGCTGTTGCAGATACTTCGCAATAGCATTTATGCTCATCTCTCATTCGAAATTATGGTACTTGTTAATCTCCTGTGAGATTCTGTTACTCAATGAATTAATAAAGAAGCACACATATAGATATTGCACAGATTGATTTCATCAGCTGTTCTTCTGTAGCCCTGTGTCTTTTATTTTCTGCTTTTCTAGACATTCAGAGGAAGGGTCCACAGGCTTCTCTAGATAGCTGAAGGAATCCATAGAGCAAGACAGGTCGGGGAGCCCCACTCCGTGCGGAGGGGGGAGCCCTCGGAGCGGGGAGCCCTCGGCCGTTCGTTACCTCCCATGCCTACAGCCAGCTTCTGCTCACAGTCCTTTGCTTATTCAAAACACACGCTGCGGACCCTTTATCCTGTCTTCTTAGACAATCCCTCATCCTTACTCACCTGCAGCCCTAGGGGGATGCAAGGAATCCATTCTTACTACGCTGCCCTCTCCTGGCCTGGCAGTGTCACCCAGGACCACCCTGTCATCAGCCAGCTCTGGAAGCTTGGTCATTATGCAGTGACCTGGCAGCTTGAGTGAGGAGACAGGGCAGCTGCATCTAGTAGTGAGAGCCGTGGGCTCCTTCCCCTGGATGTCTCTTCACGCTTGTCTGCACAGGCTGCCACTCAGCCCACCGCTGGGGCCTTTCAGGGGAAGCCCCCCTTTTGCCTAACCTAAAGAACTATAGCGCAGAGAGAACTGCCCTTCCCCTGGGACACCTACCGCGTGGCAGGTGCCTGGGTCCTGCTTTCAGAAAGCTGTCATTGTAATGTCCTAGTTTCTCCCACCTGGGACTTACGCTTACATTATGGTGCACTTAAGTGAATCTTCTCAAATGCCTGAGAGGTCCCCAGGGTGGACCCCAGGACTGTCCCCTTGAAGCTAACAGGTGGCCAAGGGCTTTAGCAAAATTGCTTGGCCCTCAGCAGGGGCCCCCACACCTCTTCTAGCCACGCCCCCTGCCCCCCACTGCCACAGGCTACCAAATTATCAAATCCTACCCTCCTTGCAACAGAGCTGGGGACACCAGAGTGGTTTTTGATGAAACCCTAAGAGATTGATTCCAGGTTTTTACAAAATAATATAAACGAGTGGTGAATTTGTATCAGACAATGTATAATACGGTGGAGTCTCTTCTCCCCAAGGTCAGAGAACATGTCTTCTGTTTTCTTTATGTCCCTGTCAATGTCTGGTGTGATGCTGGGCATGTGACAATGCTTCGGTGTGTGTTTTGAGTTAAATCATCGTGTTGTAATCTCACATTGGTAAGAGAGGGAAGACACTGAGGAGTACACACTGTCAAGGCTCTATTTACACAGAAGATTTGAAGCCAAGCCCGAGTTATGTATGTGTCACCCTGGGGGCAGGTAACAACTGGGGCGGGCTTGGGGAGCTTCTGGGGCTTTGTTCGCGCTCTGCCTCGCGGCATGGGTGCTGGCTGCAGGGATGTGTTCACTTTGTGAAAATCTGTCCGGCTCTACATTTAAGATTTGTGTACTTTTCTTGGGTAGTTATACGTCAGTAAGGTTTTTATTAACAATTGTTGTCAGGCGGTGTAATCCTAGCACTTTGGGAGGCTGAGGTGGGAGGATTGCTTTAGGTCATGTGTTCAAGACCACCCTGAGCAACATAGTGAGACCCCATCCATACAAAAAATACAATGAAAATTAGCCAGGCATCGTAGTGCGTACCTGTAGACCTTGTAGTCACAAATTGATACTTGGGA